TGGGAACAATGGTTTAATAGTGATCAAACTAAAGGGTTGTCTATATTAAGACAATGAATAACTATCATATAAAAGATACTGGTATCTCTGTAGTGAATCTCATTTATTGGGATTCCTGACCTTACTGTTATAGGTAGATGTAATAAAGTGCCTCTGAAATGAAATTTTTGTTTAATAAGGCAATGGAAAATCTGCTATAGTACTTTTGTATATGCTCCATCTCGTCCTCTATTTTTGTATGATTTTTTTATTCGAGCCAAGTTTGATTAAGTGCTAACCTACTTTCAACGTGCCCCAATTTGACTGACTTATCATGAACTCTGGTTATCAGACAGCAATTTCATCATCTTTTCCAATAAAAATACAATGTCTGTTGTGACTATCGTGAATGGGTTAACTATGTTTCAACAATGAGCTGTTATGACTGCGAAACGTATTATGACTAATTCTTCAACTCTCACGTTTACATTTTTTTAAAAATCACACAAAAAACAAACATTTTTGTTGTCAAAGAAGGAAGAAGTTGTCTTTCTTAATCATTGAAAAATATGGTCAAGGTTTTCAATGTCACATAGTGGACATTGAATTTATTAATGAGCAATTGATAAGCATATGTAAATTAACCTCACTTCAGTTCTGTATATCCTTGTAGATTCATGCATTGTATGCTATATTTGCTCTATGGCATGCACATCTATTGAATGGAATGCGGTACTTATGTTACAGATTACAGATGATTTCTTTTATTTGCTGTTTACGTCATACTGTTGCGATACGAACATGCTACTTATGATTAAATACTGTAGCAGATGTATTTATATGCCTCTACACCTAAAGTAACTTCGCCTAATCACTGTACAGATGAAATGATGCACGTTATTAGTGAGACATCTGATCTCACCGTAAAATTAACAGTGACCTCACATAACATCTGAAAATTGAATCCAAATCTAATTTAGACACACTTATCTTCACAAAGTTTTTTCTTAAATTTGATTTGGCATTGTACATACACATACATTCAAAATCCTAATAACTGGATGTCAGATGTCTCTGTCTTAATTAAATTACCAAGATATATAAATTATGATGTGGACTTGTTGATGCTATATCCTTGATCTGCCTGTCTTACTGTTTTGAGTTCATTATATTTATATTAAAAGCAAAGACAAAAATGTCTCTACACCTGTCCCAGACAGGTGGAGTCTAGCAACTGAGACAAGGTGGTGGCAGGAATAAAATATTTCCTAATTTGTGAAGGATAACAGGTTGACAAAATGTAAACAAAGGAAATAGTGATGAAATAATTTGTATAAACATATGACACTTTTATTTTCCAACCTGAACAGTGAGTAGATCACTTTGATTTCAGTTAAAATTCTACTCATGATTTTGGGAAAGTTTGTCATAAATCACATGGAAACGTTTATATTACAATCTTTCTCTAATATATGGCACATATGAAAACCAATGGTGAAAT